ACAATCCACGGGACTGCCCACAGAAGCGTAGATCCGAAAGGAACAAAAAAATTTTTGACACCAATGTTTCGTTTTGCATGGCTGCAGTCTTCTCGTGCCTCTCCCAGAAATAAAGGTTGATGTATTTTCATCGTTCAAGGAAAAACAAAACAGTTTCCTGGCTATTTTGAAAACCGCTTTTATTCCCCCCTCTCCCTCGCCATTTATGTTCGTCGCAGCTAGAGTAGGTCAAATTCTATTAGCTGTTACTCCTTACCCTCACCACCTTGATGGTTCTGATTACCCAGGGCCTCTTTCAGAGGTCCATATTCTTTCTTAGTGCACAATGATACATTAGCTGTCTTGTATGGGGTATAAGCTACTCCTGAATGCATACAGATTACGTAGGCCTGAAATTCACGTAGTTTTCCTCTGGACTTTTCTGTCCCGTTCTGGCATAGTTTAGAGGTTTTGACATTTTATCCCATAATAACACCCAAGCCCTGCATTTCTTTTGGCTTTGGGTGTTTTTTATGTATGCGTTCTCAGTGTGCCGTCTGATTCAATCACTGCAAGTAAAATTCTTCATTTGGAAAGACTTATTAGCATGTTTCACTTATTACTTGAACATCGACTTTTCCTTGATTTAGGTATTTTACAAAAACAATGTCAGAGCCTTCTGACATGGAACAGTTGGTCGCGAGACCCCGGGCCCGCGCAGTGCAACTGTCAATGCTTATCGAATTTATTTGTCAAAAAGTCTATACGGATTTGATGCGGCTGGTTGACCTGTAAGCTCCGTTCGTTTTGTATGCACCCTAATCTCGTTGACTGTTAGACTTCCGAGCAAAACGGATCTGGAGAAGAAGACAGAAATTGCAACTTTCTTTAGTCGCACTCGACATTTATTCATTCGATTAGAGGCTCTCGTCAAATGGTCTAATAATGCTTCCAAAGTTGACAAGTGTGAGGTCGGTTTATGATTGACCTAAAACAGTGGCGTACTAACTTTTTTTTAGAAAATTTCCAACTTTTTGGAGGAGCAGAGTATTTTCCTTATCAATACGGCAAATGTTTTATCTCGTTTATCGAGAGAAACTCTGGTTGGTGCTAGGTGAGCTCGCTACGGTCCCCGATCTATTTAGTTAGATTGCCTCCTTTTGCAGTTCTTCCGGCCATTGATACTTTCACCAACAAAACGTACACTCGTTTGCCAAAGTCAATTAAGGTAGGGATTGAATTAGTCCATGATGACTTCTAAAGTGTTGCGCTTCCTCCGTGGATACAGTTTCGACCCGCGAAGCCCAGCAAGCATTGCTTGATTTGAATCGGATTATTCAAAACCGTCTGAGTTTGACTCAACTGCCTCGACAGTTTAGCACGGTCAAAATCGGTAGGTTATAACATTTATGCAATTGTTTATGATAATGTTTTTCGTTCAGCTAACGGCAGAGTACAATTCGTTGTCCCCAATGAATTCACTGTGAGTCTCTATTTCGATGATTCGAATTGATCGGACCAGGTTACTCTGACTTTGATGTCCGAAGCTGTTGACTTCCCTTGGCGTGTTTTGGATGTGGAGTTCTTAATTAAAGATCCGGCGACGAGTAAGCACATTCTCATCATTGTTTGTAATGTGTTCTGTTTCGTTCGTTGTCTCATTTGTTCGTGTTCTTTTTTATTCCACATAAGTGAATACGGTAACAGAGATTGACCTCATAATTCAAGACTGTACTTTACATTGCAAGGGTATAGGGAACATTCAAGCCCGAACCAGCTTGTTGATTCCGCGATTAAAGACAATAATGTAAGTTTGACGGAAGATCGATAGGGGATAGCGTTCCATAATTGTGCTGTTCTGGGTAAAAAGATGACTGAAAGTTAGAAATTCTACACTTGTGTATGGATAAAATTTAAAAAAAAACTTCAATGGGGTGAAAATCAACCTAATACCGTTAGAAAAAGGACAAGAAAACGACTGCTCAACGGTGAGCTAGTGACTGGAAGTTACATATATTAGGGACAAGTTATCGTCGGGGCGAATGGTTCTACGTTGAATCCGATCAAGAACAGGTAGATAAAGCTCTGCCCTATACATGTCTACCGTATTCAAGTGTAGGGCGAATGCGAGTTTTGTAAAGCGGGAAGAGGTGAATGTAGATGAAAAAACGTACGGAAGAGAAAGACAAGAAAATACATATAGGGTGACCATAAAAGAGAGTACGAGAAATGATTTTTCATGAATCTGCGGATAACGGATAACATTTGAATTATAATTGGATGAGGAAAAGAAAAATTCACGTTAAAGAGAAATGAACATGAGATAGATAGGGTTAAGTGGTATTAAACATTAACTACCATTGCGACAGCTCTGTGCAGAATGCGACCGAAATCGGAATTCAGAGAGACACTGAGGGAGCAGAGGTGATCGCTGATGCTTGAATTAGCGATGCGTTAAGAGGGATGGGGCAAAGCGAGTGTGGGGTAGCGTTATTGACAAAGAGATGAATAGGATTTGAAATCGACGGCCCATAGAGCATGGAGCGCAATAAGGTCCTATCTGCTTGAATGAAGAAGACATTGCGTTCATGGAGGTGGCTTTCTGTTCAGGACAAGTTGAGAAGGAAAATCAAAGCCAGACACAACCGAAACTTTTTGATCTGTTCAACAGCACCATATAGGGGTTCCCCGCATGGTTATCGACTGTTGCTAACCATGTGTGTGTGAAATAGACGACAGAAGGTCACCGGTAGATTGGTTGGACTGGAAACCGTACTGACGATCACTGAGTATCTTGTTCTGCTTCAGGCGTAGTTGATCAGCAATGATTGACTGCATAACCTTCGAGATTTCTTCTACGCGGTTGAAAACACCCCGGATTCAAGGAACAGCATTACATTTCACACGCGTCCTAATTCAGGCCATGTGCCAAACAAATCACAGTACAATAATCTTTATAAAAGGGAAAGTTCCATCACTTGTTTGTGGATTGAATTCTGCCAGGTTGCCCAGGCCAAGTCAGTGAATCTTCTTTGGGAATCTTTGAGTAGCCAAAGTCTGACTCGTAAGGACGGTGTGTGAAAGCCTTAATCTATTGAGGGCTGGTGTCCAGTTCAGCGGAACATCCATCTTCTGAACGGGGTCAAACGTCCAGGGTGCCCAGTACACCTCGATAATCTAACGAGTCAATGATCACTACCACAACCAGGAAGGTGTGGGCGGGTCTGGTTCGTACGCTGGTTTGAAATGAGGGTTTTTAACCAACTCCCCCCAGATGAACGAGTAGGGCTTCCTCAGCAGAGGCTGTTTGAGATGCTTTGTGGTATGGGAGCATTTCGTGAGGTGCAGGGGAAGGGTGACAAGCCACAACCCAAGACACCCACCTCGACTATACTGACTGACGCTTTCAGAGGCTTCGACGGGTTGAGTAAATAAGTGACGTAAGGGAATGGCAGTTCCGGGACGCATATTTTGAGGACCATGAAAGGCGTTTCGTCGGGTCCAGATGGCCTATGTGAGCCCAGTGGCAAGAGTATCTGGCGTAGCTTTCAGAGATGGCTTTTTTAGGATATGTGGTGGGTTAGATGGATGATCCCGGAGGTATATTAAGAGGTAAAAGCTTAAGCTTTTTCGAGAGGACACTGAACCCTGGAAATTAGCGTTGCAGAAATAATCGTACATTGTCTTAACGAATGGCCGTAACGTCCAGATTCCAGAAGTTTTAGATCATGTATCGACGGAAGCTGTATTACTTCTTTGACCGTCCATTCAGTGGAGATAAACGGGCTTCGTGAAGTTTCGTAGACGCTTCGTACAAGATAAGTCCCCAGCGTCACCCGGTACACTTCTTCGCACGAGGATAACTACCGGGGACTTCCTAGGAGCATATTTGCCATTCCATAGGTGCGGATGCAACCCGGGGATGATGCACCTTCGGTAATTACACAGAGTCCCTGTACATCGATTCTGTTTTTCCCGGAGTTGTTGTCTTCACACGTCATACGTCATTTCACCTATATAATTAGTATTAATAGTAATATGAATCATTTCACTGATATGACCAAGTGTTGAAGATCGGTTCTTGTAGTTCAGGTGAACTGAATTCCATTTCACCTGTTCTCCGAGCTTAGCAATTTATTTGCAAATGTTTTATCACCAGCCGAGGTGAAATCATCAGTGCTCGTGATGATGTCACCTCGGCTGGTGATGAGACGTTTGTAAACAAATTGCTAAGCTCGGCGAACAGGCGAATTGGAATTTCACTGCCATCGTTCGCTCTGAACCGAGTTGAGTTCGCCTTTCGGCAGTTTACCTTGGTGTGATCATTCCTCGTCTTTCCGGAGGAACTAATTTGAGTTGGAATCCCACAGGACACAAGGGTCCCAACTAAGCAGGTGCTACTCTGTTTGATCTGATTCTATCTGTCTCGATCTTTGAAGATTTTTCTTTGTTCACGCACAAAAATTCTGGTATCTCCGCGTCCAAATGATTAGCAAAGTGCATGACTATCCACTCGGAACCCTGGATTTTGGTCACGAATTTGCAGACACATTTTCTGTTGTGCATTAGTGAATCCTTGATTCTTTTTCTGTTTATTGTCAACGATTCTAATTTTCACGTTCATCCTAATGACATTGATTTATTGATCAGGGCGGTTGAATACTTAAATATGTTTTTTGTGTGTGATCAACAGCAGTCGGAACACAATGTTTACGCAATCTATTTAATAGGAATTATAGCTGAATTTGTGCGCTTGGTCCTGGGATTCAATTGGCAGATTTCCCGAAAATATCCCTTCTTCCCAGGTGAATTACAAAATAACTTCCCGGGCGGGACACTTGGAGTGAGGATGTCTTAGTTACCCACAGAAAATCACGGGCCACGTACTGCTATGATTACTTCCTGCCTTTTGGGTTTAGATTCCAAAGGGTCTCGTAGAGGAATCGAGGCTGCTACATCTGGCTGCATGGATGTGGCACCGCACGGGGCATAAGAGGACGAATCGCAGAACTGCAACTTGCTGAGCCTATTCCAACTGCGAGCGTCTTCGAATGCATGTTGAAGATCATGACTGTACTTCTCCAAAAGTCGTTGACGAATGTTATTAGATATTAGTTCTGTGATGAAGGCATCGCGTTCTACCTTGTTCCGATACATTTCAGAAGAAGCAGACAGGAAGTCATTGTCACCCGGGGAGGTTTCGCAGCTCCTGTAGAAACTGTTCGACTGATTGCCGATGTTCTTGTTTAGGTGTAGCCAATGCATGGCGCGCAAAGATTCGTTTTTTGGTTTGATATACAGAGGTTCTGTACTTCGTAGCATCTTCTCCTCGTAGATGGAGCAATCAATAACTTGTCGGTAAATCGCTGGAGAGATCAAATTGATCGGGAGTGTTTTCTCTTATCCAGGTTAGGGATCTCTGCTGTTGAAAGGAAATTGTCCCAGGTATCCCGCCAGTCGATCCATCGCTCGGCTGCTGTAGGAGAATGAGTCCAAACGTTGGTAGATAATTAAATTATTATGTTCGGATAGTGTCGAGTAATTAAGAAGAGGAGTCAGGCTGAATGTGAACTTTAATCTTCTGATGATTGTAGTTCAGTAACTAAACTAAAATGTGGAAAATGGAAACGTTAATGTATTTCAATGTATAATACAGTACTACATGAGTTTATGACATTATATTCATACTGTTTTAATGCTTGTTTGAGCACTCTTCGTAAGATCAAAATCCATCTTTGCTGTCATGCATGCGCTGCGATTAACGCTCAAATACTACGAATGCGATTTTGACCAAACCAGCATCGATTACCGTACCACTCGGGGCATAGTCTTTATGCGCAGATTCAAACATGACCGGTTCGTCATATTAACATCCTTGAACTAATTTTGCATTGTCTCTTGATGGACTATCATTGTTTAAATGAGAAACCCATTATTTCACATGATCGCGTCAAATTTCCTCCTACACCAAAATGTAATAAATGTCACTGAAACTCATCTTCATCCTACCCTCCCTCCCCTCGTACCCCGTTCCCTTATCTCACACCATCAGATTACCAGAATCCGGTTCACCCGCATCAAGTTCAATTTATTCACAACCAAGTACAGTCGCGCCTACTTTATCGACATTTCGACAAACGACCGCCACTTATCCATCTGTACGATATGCTTCGTATCCTTTTCCTATCCTCTCTTGGATTGCCCAGATCCTGGTCCGGGTGGTGGTGGCGCAGTGGTTTAGTCGCTGTCACTGGCGCGCTTTGAACCCTATGGTCCGAGGTTCGAGCCCCGCCACCGACACCCAACTTTGATGGTAGGCAGCTCCGCTGTCGTCCGGTTCAATAGCACGCCTAACCTATTCGGGGCCTTATGTGGTTCGCCACTCCAAGTCCTGCGGGGCTTAGGTTGCCGATTTCAACCAATGAAC